CGTAGGCGAGGTGTCCTTAATATCGGAGTGTCCGTAAGGCGAGAGTTGATTGTAGAGACCTTTAGCGCGACGTTCTTATTAGTCCCGCAAACCTCAAACTGCAGTTCGACGTCAGGCGTTTTCCRTCAAACGACATTTAGGAAGGCGTCATAACGAAGTTGTTGCTGGAAGAKTGGCCGTATCGAATTTCATTGATGCCGAGTATTCGTGTTTGCAGGCGTTTTTCGGGGCCTCGTRGGATATCCCATGGTATGACACTATTGTGTAACTAGTATCTATATCTTAAATAGGTTAGCGCCTGGACGAGTGAAGGTCGATGCGAGAGCCTTCCAGCTAAGAAGAGAACAGCGCGGGAGATATACCGTAAGGCAAAAGGTTCTTATTTTGCTGAGCACCTTCACCTCGGCACTTTTGCACTTTTATTCTATGTGACGGTAAACTCGTATCAGTAGTGTCTAGAGATGGCCACCTGCACTTGTTGATGCCAATCACTTGCACTGTTTAAACAGGTGTCTTGTTACTCGGTGTTAGTTAACATTGTGGTAGYGATGATGACGATGATGATGATGTTGGTGATGGTGATGATGATGCATAATGATAATGAAGATGACGATGATCATGATGTTGGTGATGTTAATAATAATGATGATGATGATGCATAATGATGATGGCGATGATGATGATGGTGATGATCATGGTGATGCATAAGGATGATGGCGATGATGATGTTGGTGATGATTATGGTGATGCATAATGATGATGGCGACGATGATGATGACGACGATGATGATGATAATGACGATACATAATAATGGTGATTTATGATGATTATATTGATGATGGTGATGCATGACACCGACGACGATGACACCAATGATGATGACAAGGATGATAAATGATAACAATGAAAATAAAGATAGTGTTTAATGAATGTTATTATCATGATAATAAGGACGATTATAATAATGAAAAGAGATGATGAAGTGTCATTTATAATTCTGATAATATTTTATTATAATAAATAGAGTTTTAAAATATTATCAAAAAGGGTTGTTAATTTTGATAAAAATTAAACTTTGATGCAATTAAATTTACGACAGAATAATAATTTCAGACGCTGATGATGATGATGGTGGTGGTGATGGTGATGGTTGTGGTGGCGGTGAAGAAGATGATGATGATGATGAAAATGTTGACAAATGATGGTGACTACAATGATAATGGTGTCTAAATGAATATGCCTGTTGAAGAATGATGGTGATGGCTTATGATGATGATGTTGGTGGGGATGATGATGATGGCGATGAAGATGGTGTTGTTGAAAGTGTTGACAAACGATGGTGACTACACTGATAATGATGTCTAAATGAATATGCCTGTTGAAGAATGATGGTGATGGCTAATGATGATGATGATGGTGGTGGTGATGATGATAATAATGGTGGTGAAGATGGTGTTGTTGATGGTGACTTCAATGATGATGTCTAAATGAAGAAGCCTGTTGACAAATGATGATGATGAGGATGATAATGATGATGATGGATAATGCCTGACAGTTGACATGATGATGATGAATAAACGAGAATGGTTTCCATTGATCAATAATATAATGACCATGATTAAAACATATTAAACAAAACTTTAAACTGGAGCTTATTCTGATGCTGTTATCTTTATCCCAGATGCCACTCCGAACCCTCGAGTAAAGACAAATAAACAGACGACATCTAAACGAAGCACGAATAAACAACCTAAAAGTAAATAAAAATAACCCTAAAAATATTAATTATTCTATTCATCATAATAAATCAATAGTCTTAAGCGTGAATTTTTYCCATTTTTGAGTCCATCCGTGTGTATCTTTTCAAGTGTTATTCGTTAAACATAGAAATAATACTCAAGGGACTGACACATGCTCTGCAGGTATCATAAATGATCGTGGCGGCTATGTCTTTGTGCAGTCTCCTGCGCAGCCGCTATTAGTGTCACTCCCCTAAGGGGAGTAAGCGTTGCGTGACGCTAATAAGCGTTGCGTGACGCTAATAAGCGTTGAGTGACGCTAATAAGCGTTGCGTGACGACACTAATAGCGGCTGCGTAGGAGACTAGTCTTTGTTTTGCGTGATTATGATCTCCTACAATACTAACCTCTACCTTTCATTTATGAATATCCCTAGCAGTCCCTATTAGAAAGCCACTTTATCCCTACGACTCAAAAACACTTGAAAAAGGAACCGAAAAATCAGGTATACCTAAATAGAACGCGCACCCTGGTTTGTTGAACGCTTAGGGACAGTTCATTAATTATGCCTTGGGGGGGGGGGGGGGGGGGGGAGAAAAGTACGTGGGGTGTTTTTCATGAAAACTGAAGTA